AAAAATAAAATAAAATAAATAAATTAAATAAAATAAATAAAATAAATAAAAATAAATAAAACATTAAAACGTGAATTAATAAATAAATAATAATTAAAAAACTTAAATAATGAACATCAAAAATTGATAAAATAAATAAACATAAATAAATATAAATAAAATAAAGAGATTTACACAAATTACAAATACTTTATGTATCCCTATTCAAAATCAAAGGTTTTATTCTCATATGCACATAAGCTACAGTGTATTGACCTGAGCAGCTCCAACAATGCTCTAAAAATATCCATATTCCCAGGAGGGGAATTTGATTTTTGTGACAGATTTTTGTTTTTCGTTTTACTCACGTCTGTGATCTCGGGGGGCGGACACTGAGCCGGCTGGTGGGACGGACACAGCTCTCGATAAACACAGGAACGAGACGAAGAACACCAAACACACTCATACTGAGAAGCTGCATTTTTACACAGACTGCAATCCTCCCTGCTCACTGAGCAGTTATACAGGGAGACTGAGGAAGAGGATGAGGAAGAGGAGGGAGAGGAGGAGGAGGAAGAAGAAGTTAATTTACATAATTGATCATGCATTGAAATGTAAATAAGACAAACAGCGTGATAACTGTCTGTTCACACTTTCTCTTGATTTGTGTGTGTGTGGGAGTGTATAACTAGGTGGGTGTATGATCAAGTGTGTGTGTGGTGTGTGTGTGTGTGAGTATGAGTGAAACACCAACCTGTCAGCGTGCTGTCAACCATCCGCTCTGTGCCTCTGTCTATGATGTGGAAGGAGACGTTCACCTCCTGCTGCTTATCATAGGAGAACTGAACACACACACACACACACACACACACACACACACACACACACACACACACACACACACACACACACACACACACACACACACACACACACACACACACAATTAAGATATCACTGTTATGTTTAAGATTAGCAATATTTTAAAGGGAAAGAAAAGTTTAATCAATTATTATACATTTTCTTATTTAAAAAATCTATCAAAACTCTAATTTATCTTTTGGAAAAAATATTAAAAAGCTTTGAATATTAAACAAAAATATGTAATAATTTATTTGAGGCTCATCCTTCGAGGTTACCTGAAATAAATACAAGGGAATAATACAAATTAAACTGCTTTGTAGCCCAATAGGGGGCGCCATGTACGTCTATTCAACAGTGAATAGGAGGTTTTAGCTTAGGTATACATCAAACTAAAAGACAAACAAACCTTAAAATCATTTAAATATAAATACAGGCTGTTTACTAACCACACACAACAAAAATAAACTGACTCCAGATTTTAATTTACTCCTGAATGAAGCGCTAATGATTCCCTAATTGCTGTAATCATCATTAATGACAAAGTCTGATTGGGTAATGAACGCCTGGCAGCTTCAAAACATAAACACAGAGCTGCTGGAGTTTATACTAAACGAGAATAAATGGATTTCATTTCGATGCAGAGGCAGTTAATTGGTACATTTAGGTAACAACCTACATTACATATGTTCCTTTTATATTTAATTTGCTCCACACTGACCTCATATCCGTTGAATTTGAACTTTGACCCCTGCTCCTGTATGACCGTCAGCTCCGTGTCCTTCATCAGATTCGTGCCGATGGAAAACTTCTGATCCTGCACACAGAGAGGGGCGTTAGACACAGAAATAAAACACCGTATTTAATTAAAATGATGTTAATCTCACGTCTTTCTGGTAGATGTCCAGGTTTCTGCCCTGGAAGCTGATCGGGATCGGGAATCCGACCGGGATTAAGAGCGGCTCCGGAGACTCAAACTGAGGACAACTGCCAGCCTTCATCACGGGACAAAATGTACATATTTAATTTAAAGGTCACCTATCATGATATTTTTAGGCAATAGCACTGGTCTCAGATATATACAAATATATAAAAAACATGTCTATGAAGTGTTTTGCTCAAAATACCAAACAGATCACCCATTCTAGCCATGCCTCATATCCCTCTATTTCACTTCCTGTTTCTAAAGTGCTGATTTGGGGTATAAAGCTTTAACAAATTAAAAAGGAGGGGGCGGAGCTTATGCGGGACCCGGCAGCTACTGTCTAAACTAAATACTGCCGTGATGAAACGCCATATCATGGATTATCAAGGATTCTCTCTGAAACAGTTTGGAGCTCAAAGGCTTTCTCTCTTGCCGGTTATACCACAAGGTGAGTTCCTTTTTACTTCCTGCTTCTTCACACACATGCTCTCCAGTACAGGTTAGCTCTGAGTGTTAGCGATGCTAATGT